GGCGCTGTCTGCCGGAGGAGTAAAGCTTTCGCCGATGTTCTGGGACCTTGCCTTTTGATGCTTCCAAGAACGAGAGATTGTTTTGAAAAGATTGAAGCTGATGCAAAGTTAGACTACTGTCTTCCAGCGAAAGGCGCTCTTCCAGGTCATGTGCTCAAACACAGCTATAGTGTGGTGGAACGTCATTTGGAGAGAGCCTCGCCTATGACATATAAAATAGGCTACACCCACGATGCCTATTGCAGGTTCTACAACTCAAAGTATGGATACTGCACAGAATGGAGAAACCGCTGGGAGGGCATGGTAGTAGTCTACGCTTCCCCAGATACAGTCTCTGCAAGTTTCGTGGAAGCAGCCATGATTCAGCGCTTTATGGGTACCCTGTCTGCACGTGTGCTATACTGTATATATACAGTAGTTCGTATGTTGTCCATGATCTGCGACATGTTGCAGTTGTATCTGTGCCCCTTACATCAACTTAGGCATGCAAGGTTGCAAGAATGAGAGGGATGGCGGTGAGGGCGTTGTTCAGAGCGAAGATGGGCCGTTCCTAGTGTACTACGTTTTCCGCTCTTTCCGCAGGCCAAGTAATGCTCCATTGCTGATGGGGTATGGCAGTGCTTAGTTGCCATGCGTGCGTTGATGCCATGTACATGCTCTGATGTTGCCAACCTTCCACACAAGAAAAGGCAGCAAAGTGAGTGTTGTTTACTGTGAGGTTTTCGTGGTTCATGTGATGCATTTCCATGATGTACTTGTATTTTTTGAACTTGCGGACATTGGCCTGTACTGGATCCAATTAAGGCTGGTGGACGCTATCGAGACTGAGAAGGGCAAGGTGAAGGCACCGTTCCTTGGAGGACAAATGGCTTGGAGCGCTTTACGCATGACTATATAGTGAATGTAGATACTCGCATCTTGCGTGCTGTGAATGTATGCTGCAATTAATGGATCTGTGTGGTGAAGCGCCAAAATCAAAGGTGTGTGGAGCTTCTCACTTATGATGCAGAGTACAAGCAACTCGCCGGCATAGCATGTGTCAATGCATGTGCGAGCTTGGAATGTGCTTTTTGCATCTTATTGCATGTGCAAGGGAACAACAACTTTAAGTATATTTCTTGATCGATGTCTAAGGCAAATCAAAAAGGAGTGCGCGAAGCAAAGCAAGGCCAAAAAGAGTAAGGGCAAAGCTAGCAAGGCCGACAAGGCTACCAACTCTAAGGGAACTGCTAAGGGAACTGCTAAGGCAACTGCTAAGGCAAAGGCCAAGGGTAATTCGGGGAAAGCAAAATCATCGGACGATGCTGAGCCCCCGGCTGCACCTCGCAAGCGCAGAAGATCAAAGAAAGCCTGAACGCACAACGGATCAAGAATGTGATCTATATGCTGTGCGGGCTTTCCTGCACAAAGTGCAAGGCGTTTCTAAGTTTGAATCATACTTGGTTGGGATCTATCTTACTTGGGATCCATAGAAGGTGTAGAACACCTTTGCTCTTTGAAGGGTTTGCATGTGTCTCAAACCATGCAGGGGTCAAGAACAATGCGAAGGTGAAAAAACACAAGCGTTAAAGCGACTGTGATCGAATGTGGGTCGAAAGAAACAAAAACAAACTGATCGAAGGATCGAAGCTCAGTCTGCTCCTGTTGTGCTTCTATACTCGGATGAGTGCTCTAGAAGCCATATTGCCAGGTCCATCTCGAAAAGCTGAGCTCTTGGCGTGGAAGTATGGCCGAGGGGATGCTAGGCCGCATGCCGCTGCACTTCGCATGGCTAAACTGACTCAAAAATAGAGATGTCTTCGAAAGACTATCTTTTTTATATGACTGCATGCATGCATGCATGCATGTTGAAGGCTTCTCAAACTATCAAGCACTGATATATATATATGCGATCAGAGTTCCACTTAAGACTTGAACAGTCTTCCAATCTTTCGAAGTTCGGAGTGACATTGAAGACTCTATACCATTATATATTTCCAGTTTACCTGGGTCAAGAATCTACAGAGTTTCAGTATGTTTGAGTGCTTGCATGGTATACCGCTTTCTGTGAGGAAGCTTGCGCCGATATTGTTAGATCTGCAAAAGCAGATGTTCATGATCGAGCCGACGAAGGCAGCGATGCCGCTTGCTGTCCAGTTCTCAAGGCCTTGCATGCCATCGCAGAACACAAAGCCGTTTCTCAGGCTTGGATCTTCATCAATGCTTGTGGACCTTTATTTTGTCGATCTGAACTGTATATATGGGAGTGTACATGGATGTAATTTTTTAAAAAAAAACACACAAACATGTTGGAGGGTATAACCACAAGAACGCACCACGTAAGGAAGAGGGTGTGTCCCGAGTTTTCTCCAAGTTTGGCATGGTGTATCCCGTGGAGCTCAGCTACAGCCATGTTGGAGAGTGCACAGAATTTCCTTGGATTCGTCCATCGAACCTGCTCAAAGCCATGAGCGATACAGGGGATCTAAGATTACTTCTTGGCGGAAGCCCAACGATCGCAGCCGCACAGCAGGCTCTTGAGAGCTTTTGGGCGAAGTTTCAGATGCTGTTCCCATCGCATGGGGTCTTCAAGAAGATCAAGGATTCAGCTGGAACCATCAAACCTTGCCAATTGTTGCCGCTGTTGGTACATGGAGACGAAGGAACCACATACAAACGAAACGGCGTCCTCATTATCCAGTTTGCTGGTGTGATTGGGCATGGCAGCAGGCACAATAGGGCCGATGATGAATGGTACAAGCATCTTGAAGATTCAGGTATTCCCATGAACCTGCTCACCAATGCAATGCAAACGAGGTTTCTGAGCGTTATTTGCCCCAAGGACCTTGGTTCATTGGTTCAACGACACGGTGTGGCAACAATTTTTCAATCTAAATTCTCCAGGTGTTGATGTATGCCCCTGCCCCCTATAGGAGATGTACCAAGATGATCCGGCAGTTTTTGACCAGGTCATTGACATGGTAGTTGACGATTGGCAGCGCCTCGAGAGTGAAGGGATTCGGATGCCGGGTCAGTGTGAGGGCACTGTGTATCCCATACTTTTAGGCAACAAAGGCGACTGGTCATACTTGGTTCCCTGGCTACACCTCTTAAATTTTGTGCGTTAGTTTTTGAGATCAAGGGGGTTATTGTTTTATTGCATGATAAGGAATAAGAGCCTTGAGATTTTTGAATGTCTCCGCTCTTCAGGTACAATCGGCGAAACTTCAGAGGTCGTACCGGCGAGCCCCACGAGGAGCCCAGCAGGCCAAAAAGTTTATGGACAATCCACCAGGTATATGCCATCTGTGCATGGGAGGCACCAAGGAGGGAGATTGGGAAGACCTGAATCTTGCAGAGCTTTCTGTGCATATACGCTTTGCTTCTTTTTCCCCTATACCCCTTGAGGGCGAAGTCAAGTTGTCCAAGGTTTTCTACATACACAGATCTGGTTTGATCATGTCTTTGTGGTTTTCAGCCATTGCGACGCTTTCAGGAAAACATCACAGAGGTTGATCCGGCATGCCAGACTTCACGGCTGTCCATTTCCATGGGAGGATGAACCTCCATGGGCAAGGCTGATCCACGATGAGAGCCCGGGCGGCCTTCAGAGGTTTCATCGGATCGATGTGTGGCATTCTTTCCACATGGGCATCGGAAAGAGCTGGCTGGCCGGATGCGTGAGCCTGATTCAATACGTGACTGGAGAGTCATCGGTCGATAAAAGACTCGAAGTGCTCAACGCCGATTTTTCAGATTGGTGCGCGGAGCACAAGAAGAACAAGTACCTGAAGAAGCTTGACGCCCACACCTTCAATTTGAAGGGCCCTGAGCCAAGCGGAAGCTGGAATAAGGCTCATGTGACGGCCACCCTCATGGAGTGGTTAGAATCGTTCTGCCAGAAGCATGCGGCCACTTGTGAAGCTCACCAAGATCTCCAGTTTGTTGTTGCTTGGATCATACCAGGTGTTCGCAAGGGTTGATGCTTTACGTTATCTTTACGTTGCTTCCCTTCCAAGAGTCATTGCAGCTATATATAGATGAGGGGCAAATTATGTTTTCAGTGCACTCCATGTCGCACAATGAGCCGAGGCTTCTGCCACCAGGGCGATGAACTGTTTTTTCAGTGGCTTGTTCAAAGAAGAGATTTGGATTCCAAAGCACCGTGCCGAGCCTCTAATCAGGGGCGCATACCATTTCTTGCAGGCCTACCAGTACTTGGGCCACAGAAGCCTTTTACATGGGAAGACCTATTTTCCGATGGTTCCCAAGTACCACATGGTGCAGGAGCTTTTGGAAGAGCTGTCATTTCAATGTGGAAAGGCAGGCTTTTGCTGGAACATCCTGTGTGACGCATGCATGCAGGAAGAAGATTTCGTGGGCCGCACAGCGTTCCTTACAAGGTGCGTGTCAGCGCGCAACCAAACATTGCGGGCACTACAGAGGTACCTGGCACAGGTACGGGTTTGTTGGAGCTGCCGTTAAATGGCCGAAGCTCTTCGAAGGTGTGCTACTGCAGGGGAGCGCAGTGGAAAAGAATTGCATCAGGAAGGGGCGGTTTACTTTGATGACATATCATGCATGGGATTGCATGCATGGTTGATATATTTGATATATATTTGCAACTCAAACTCAAACCAGTTCAAGTTTAGAAACACAATTTTTCGGGAAGTCCAGCACTACTTTTCGGGAAATTTCGGGAAGTCATATAAAGGACATCCATGGACGATAATATCCGTAGAATGCGATAATATCCGTTGGCAAGCGAAATCTTGCCAAGAATCAGAAATCAGTGCTGATTTCCATCGTAAGTTGAAATTACAACTGATTTGGTGATCTAGGTACCGGCGATTTCTAGCCCAAATGTATGATGATGTATGTATATAGTAGAGACGCCTATCTGGCAAATCAGTCAGTTATACCCTAGTAACTACCCTAGTACCATAGCACCTCAGAACGCAACTCAGAATCTCCAATACATGCAAGCACCCCCTGCTGCCCCGCTCGCGGCGCCTGCGCACCTGCGCACCTGGCCCTTTCTAAGACGGCCTCCCGCCAGGCCGCCTGCGTGCGCCGAAGCTCAGCGGTCCAAAGTAGAGTAGCTCCAATGAAGGTGGATATTTGGGGGGGCAACAAACATCAAACCAATGCCTCAGATGGCCCCAGATCGCCCTATGGAACGATCCAGAAAAAGATGACGATAGGAACGGCACCAGGCTGTGCTTGCGACGGCCTAGTGAACTTCTGTCCCTGGAATCACATGACGCAATCATGAGGCTTCAGCATGTGACGAATTTGAGATGCGAACCAAAAAGACACATGAATATCAGCGGAGTGGCAGTCCCTAATGGTGTCTCTGTTAAGATGTTTTTGGGGTCAAGGCCCTATCGGAAGTTTTTGTCAAATGCTCGTTGAAATCCGTCTGATCCACAGATTCACACCCAACGAGTCGAACACCCGACGCTCGCCGTATCTCGGGACGAGGTCAGCGTCGACATGCGCTCGTCGCGTCGCGACCGGGGTCGAGTCGAACGGGACGTTCGATGTACGGGCTTTCTTTGGGGGTTGAATGCATTCATCGACCCAGATCTCGTGTTTGTTCAGCTTTTCCCAGAACCCGTGAGCTCGAAAAAAAGGATCGCCGGTCAACCTCGATGATCAATGATTCATCTTCTTTGATCTGATTGGGGGAGCTGGCCAATGGAAACTTTCTCACAAAATGTCACCGCATGTGTTACCGCTATCTGTTCCAGTAATTAAAGTGATCATCTGTACCCCATCTGATTGGGTTGATGTTGAAACCTTTCTCTGCGCATTTGGGCGATGTCTAGATTATGGTCATCCAAAATGGAACCCGCTGAAAGCTCTCAATACTGTTGGGTCCCCCTGAGACCCTCAGTGAAGCAACCCCTCGTCCCTAATGCGTCTCAAAAAATGTCGGGTTCCGGGCGTTAAAGAGACTCAAACACCAAAAGTCAGAAACCTCAAATATATCCAAATATTATTTTGGGCCGGAGTCCCAGGGTCAAACCAAGGTAATAACATGTAAAAACATGTAGAAACTCATGTTGATCACATGTGCAACTGCCAAACCCATCCGAGCGTAAATCTTTCTACCAAACAAAACGCCATCTGGGGCGAGGCACCCTTTCCATCGTTTTCCTGGAAAACCCTTTTTCGACCGGACAGCCCGCCTCATCGCCCAGCGTGCGCGCCAGGGTGCTGGAGGCGGAAGCCAAGGCGGCGGAGTCCTGGACCCCAAGTGGCGCGAGTTCGAAGAGAATGCACCAGATGAAGCTACAAGAGGCACGGGAAGCCCACGCAAACGTCCGGCGGCACCGGGTGACCAAAAGGAAGAAGGAAAGCAACAGCTAGAGGAGCTAAGGGTCGCCCAAAAAATTGGGTGCCTGCGATGGATCCATATTTCAAGAAAACACTGAAATATGTACTGTAAACAAAACATTTTTTGGGTGATCCCCACCATGGCAGTCTATCTGGCATATATTGTA